GAGAAATAGATTGAAATCTGTTACTCAACACCGATGCTAGCCAATAGCTATACGCCTGAAGGCCACCCCTGAAGCAGCCTCCACCCTTAACGAGGTGCCCAGTAAGTGACCCCAGGCTTGACCCTAGCCAACAGATGACATTCGTGACTGGCCGATTGATGCATACAGGCCTATATGACCTCCCGTTTACTTGAAGCAAGGGCCAAAGTAGTGTATTGGGGTACCAGGATGCCCCTCAACTACCAGGATCCCCTTTTCCAAGGACACGGGTCTCCACGCACGGCGAACACGCGGGTGGCTTCTTCTCATCAGGGTCCAATGCAACACCGAACCAAGACGAAAAGTTCTAACCACGATAAGGATGAGAATCGATAACAAATTAGGAATTGCAACAAGATAAATAATTATATCAACGTAACAATTTTTTTTAAATCTAAAGTCTAGAAACCAATTTTCTGCAAATGATATCCAGAATTTGGAGGTAAATATAATAATATTCGCTCACTAGGTCAATGAAATTATAAAGTGAAAGTCAGAAACTCAAAACAGGACCGTCGCAAGAGAGAAATGGAAGTATGCTAAGGTCCAGCTCGGGGCCAGAGTTTGAAAGAAAACGCAGCTTCTGGACTAACTTCTCTCCATTTTAATAAACTTTAATAATTGTTCTGATGTAGAAAATGGATGTACAATTCATAAGAAGGTAATTTAGTTGAAATCTTTACTGTATTCATTGAAATTTTTTAAAATTAAAACAGGAAAGAAAGTTGAACTTTTTTAAGATTCTTTTTTTCAGTTTCAATTGTTTTCTGGGTCATTCGCAACCTGCATGCATAATTTTTAAATTAAACAAATTAAAGATAACTTATCTTTAATTTGTTTTAAAAAAAGAAATCAGCAATCAAATGTTTTAAACCTTTAACTTTATGCATAAATTAATTAGAGAGGAAGATACTTTAAAAATTCTAATTTAAACTAGATCTAAATATTTTCTCTCTCTGTAAAACTTAAAGGAAATGAGAACTATACAAAATAGTGGGCAACAACATTAGTACAAAATAGATAAGAATACCCTTTTCAAGGTTGCAACTAAATAACTGAAAAGCATATGATATGAATTATACATATGCCCTACCTCCCTGTCTAGAACCAGTCAGATTGGTTCCCGGAAAAGATAAGAGGACTAGCTGCCTCCTTTTTTCTATGATCCCTTTAGCTTCACCTTGAATAATATTGTTCATTATTACTTTAGTTTTGTTGGTGAAGTTTGACCTTGCCATACAGGTTAAGCTTTTAGGGACTAAATGCTTGATTAGTCATAAGCAGGTTTATTTATCTATAGTTATCTATAAGGCCAGGTTGCCTGCATAAAATTTAAGTCAACAGATACCGCTAATATAAAAAATATAAAACCCATGAGAAATTTAGGGGTTACCCTCGACTCGTGTCTGACATGGATCCCGCACTTAAACGATCTTGAAGATAAACTCACTAATTTTAATCAGGGAATTAGAAGAGTCGCCAGAGTTCATTGAGGCCTCAGACCACAACTTTTTATAAGGATATATCTCCAGGCAAGTGAAAGGATTATTCTTTACACCGCCAGTGTCTGGTATAGAAAATTCCTCTGCTCACCATCACGAAGACATACTCCACGACTAGCACAGAGGCTATCCCGATAAATCTTAAAATAGTTGAGGAAATCTACATCAAAAGAGTTAAATAGGGATGGAGAATGCAGGATATCAACCATATTTTAATTGTTTGCTTGGCTTATTTGTAAGTAGCCAAGAACTTAGAAAGTTTTTCACAGCAAGAAAGGTTAACATAAATGTTGTTCTTGGCTCGTCGCGAATTTCGCCAAAACTCACATCGGACATTTGACGATTTTATCGAACATCGTCATTGAACATATCATTTCCGATATTTCAGATTTACTGAACACGTGAGATTTTTTTTAAACAAGACATGTCCAGGGTGGAATTTTTAAAGTCGGAGAGAG